TATAACAATGGAAGCAATGTGCAAATTTCTAATTAGAAAAAAAGTAAGTGTGCAAATTTTTTCAAATGGCCCCAAATTGAAGAGTAAAGTCTATGCCAACAAGCCTATCACCATCCAGCAACTCAAAGACGAAATTTCACGCCACATTGAAGAGATTCAGGAGCAGTTGTGTCGAGATGTGATAGCAAATTTCGATAAGCGGATTAACGTGTGCCGCCGGAGCCGTGGCGAACATTTGGCGGACATTATCTTCCATACTTAATTGTAATGGCCTACCAAACATGTTCTATTAAAGAAATTTTCATTTTTATACACCACCGATTTTTAATTCACGTTTAACATCATTCCTTCTTATTGAAACACCCTTTATTAAATGTGTCTCACAAATAAAGAATAATAATATGATCAATATGTTGGTATTATAAATCTGTATTGTGTGTACAAAACAATAAATGATCTATAAAAAGTATATAATATTTCTTCTTTCAATATACGAGTAGATACCTAATTAGAATAGATAGTAATAAAATAAGGTACGGTGAATAAATAAAAAAAAAGGGGGATAAAGTCGATTATGGTACATATTTATTTGTATTCATTAACATTTTCTTAGAATAGATATACATATACATATATGTATATTAGTAATAAGGGTATAGTCAGGTATGTGTTTGTTTTTTCATTGTGTTCAGAATAGGAATCCTCGTTATAGTCATCGATGTTGTTGCTGTTGTTTATTCGCGTGAGTCGATATAGGAGATCGCGCAATTGTTTAAACAGTTCGTCTCGCGGGCAAACAACGTTAACGATTCGTAGATCGAATGTACCTGCCGTTAGTACAGTTTTCGTAAACTCGTTGAATTTGTAAAATTGTCGTCGAGTTGTGAAATACAGATTACCGTCGAGGTATCTGAAGACTGACGTCACTCCGTTTGGTATGCCAGGAAAAGTCGACTCAATGGTGTGAAACCTGCTAATGCTATCGGAGCAGTCGTCTATCTCACCGACGATATATCTATTGTATATTACGTAAGACTTTCCTTTGTTAGTGTTCACGGCAGCGTCTATTTTCGCATCCATAGGAATTCCAAAGTCTTTGAGAGTTCTCGGCCAAGTTGGTACTAGCGTGAAGTCTGGGTAGTTCAGTTTATAGATTCTATCGTCAACGAATAGAATCAAGTGATCGGATGGAGTTTGATACGAGGCTGAAATGCGCGTGAAGTTTGAATGAATGAAGGACATGTAGTGTGAAAGCAGCAAAGGTTCTCTGTAGGTCTTTCCATCTATGTCATCACCCATATGTGTTTTCCGTACGCTACGTACATTCGTTGTTCCAACAGTAATATCATATCAACACGTTTCAAGGCGCACAGATCCGGTGGAACGCTCGGTGTTGGCTGCGGTGGTGGTGGTGGTGGCGGTCTGGGAGTCGTTTTCGGTAACACGTCGGTATCCGTAGCGCCGTATAGATTTTGTATGTTTATAATGCCCTCGGTGTTTAGTGTGACAGGAAAAGTACTGTCAGGTATGAATGAATACATTATCGACGTAGTGTCGTGACTATGATCTAGCCCTAACGAATGACCGATTTCATGAGTCAACAGGTACAGCAAATTACAATATATTTGTTCTGTGGACCCATATCTAGATATATATGCCACTGTTCCATCCTGTCGACGTGAACCTCCGACGTGAAATTCGACGCTCCATTGGGATAGAACGCGTGAGCCAACGTGCCGCCGGGACCGTCCAAAACGCTCGAGCACAATTCACCGTTTCGACGATCGAGGAACATATGATGGCCGTCGCGCAACGATATCAGAATATTTGGGTTTTCAACAGCACGTTCAAATGTTAGCGACGAATGTTTCTGCCACAAATCGAACGCTGCCTGAGTTGTATCCAAGAGCGCTCTGTTGGTCAAGTGAAAATTCCACGTTAAGTGTCGTTTCGACCACTTAGGTATAACTTTGCTCTCTCCGAAATTCAATATGTCACGTAGACCGCATCGCGGTTTACTCATCAGGCTTAGAGTTGCGTTGTCCACTTTACCAGTACCAGGTAATCTGTAGTATTCTTGAAAGAGGTTGATAGCGTGTCGAAGAACCAACTGATCTTCACTAGTGGCAAACGTATCCATCTTTTCGTTCAAAAAACCGTATTTCTGCAGATACTGTATCGCCACTTCATTGTTTTCGTTGATGACTTTACACTCAGCGACAATATACACACATATAAGCATCGTAGCTACTGTACAGGTAACTATGATGCGTGCGAACATTGGTTTCATTGTGAAGAACCGGTGCAAACTCGAATGATGAAATGCACATGCCTCGCGGTGCAAACTCGAATAATGAAATGCGCATCTCGAGATGCCCTTTTATTAGGTTAGGGTTGGGTTAGTAGTAGGGTTAGTGGGCGTTGGTCTATGACGATGAAAGTGTTACAAAAATAACAATTTGAAGGGTATGATCCATATGTTTCGCAATATCCTTTCGAGTAGACGTTGACGTTGTATATATATCCGTTCGATGAGACTATGGCGATAAAGGGGTGCATATCGCAGGAAATTCTTCAATTTTTTCAAAGATTAAAAATAATACTTTAATTTTATGAGATCGAAGAGGATATGAATAAAGAAAGGATAAAAAATGATTTTGAACAAATATATACGAGTATATTTTTCGTGATATGTACATTACATTTTATAGCACATTTGTACTAAACAAAGAGCAGTATGCTGCAGAGAATGCATCGAGTTTAATTTCTTCTTATAATCTCTGATTCAAAGTTCATTCTTACGCGGTCTCGCGCTTTGAGACTATCCTCCTTGTCACGTCTATTAAGCTGGCACAGCTACTTCAGCAAAATCAAATACGACCTATATGATAATTAATTGCTATTTAATTGCTAATTAATTGCTCTATTATTGATTTTTGCTCCAGCCGATTTGTTAGAAACAATGGCTGTGCTAGCTTAAGACAAGAGGACGGGTAGGAGGAGATGGGAGCGGAGAGGTATCTGCGCCCTGAAGCCCCACATCTCCGAACAGGAGGCCACCTTCCTACTATATAAATATTCGGAGGTTGGACCCGGGCCGGGGGACGGTATCCTCAGATTTTAACGGAGGACCACCCCCTGGCAAAAATGGCGTGGCTGGACGGTGAAAGGGTACGACCCTGGGTGGACGGTTCTCCTGGGAACATCACGGCGAGTGTTGCCCACGCACCTACCGCGCCGGGAGGACTCGCTCTCCCACTCGCCTGGGGAGGGACCCCTCATGCCCTCGATGTCTGGCCGGGGAGGCCGGCGCGGGGGCGGGGAGTCTGCTCAGTGGTACGACCCGACCGCCAATACTGGCGTCCGCCTAGTGAGAGTCCACCTTATCTCACTATAATATAACAGAACGGAGGATGGCTTTCATAAGGAGGCGATGTAGGTCGTAAAGTGATTTTGGTCACTGGGTTGCTGGGCGAGCAGCGACGATCAAGAGGGGGCTGCTGCGGCGGCCAATTTTGAGGGTGGCATCCCCGGCATTCTGCCGGGGTATACACTATCGATCTCTCCTGAGATGCAGACTCGCAGAAGGGCCACCGGGCCCATGTGCCAACCCCACCTCCTCGTGGTGTGAGTCGGTAACACAGGATTACCCCTCCTGTGGCTGACGGGGCTCTGGCTTCGCGCAGGGTGCACACACCGGTGTGTATACCTGGATACCTAGACGGGAAGGATCAGGTCCCGCCGCTTGGTGCTGCGGTCACGGCCGAAGAATGAGGTGGACAATAGTCGTAATTCCTCCTTAGTAGGTCGGGGGCAGGAATGTCCTTAAGCCGTGGCCCTCGCCTGCGGGGACTGAGAGATCCCTGAAGGTATCTCGCGGGCGCTAGCGCGCCAACCCGAGGGAAGTCTTTCCCCTCGGTAGGCGGACCGGAGGAGGAGGGATCCTTAGCGCCATCGCTCTGGGTCCTGAATCTGAAGGAAGGAAGCCCGAGGCAGGCCCACGAGGCGGGTCGCGGGGTGAACAGTGTCACCCGCCTAGGGTGGCACCGAATCGGAACCCGGAGCTGCTGGCGGTTCGCTGGTTGGTCACGGCCATCACGCGATACCTCTGGGTCTGCCCTCACGGGAGCGCGGTGGCTGGGGGGAGGTCGGCCCTGGCAGTTGGTTATGAACCTCTGGCGCGCCGTGTCTCCCGAATAGGGACTTAGTTTCTCCCTGTACGGGGAATCGGGTAGCGACTCTCCTGGCGCATAACGACAGGCGGGCCAACCGGAGGTATGCCTTCCTCCGTAAAACTCGGAGGCACAGCTCGCGACGGGTAGGTAGGCGGGTAGGATGGGGCGCTGGGCAAAGGGACCAAGTCCTGGAACCCCCGCCTCCAAACAGGCTGCTGTCTCGCCTGTATAAGAAGCGGAGGCAGCGCGCGAATTCCGGGAGGGGCGATGCATGACTGGGGGCAATAGGTCTGATGTCATGCGATCGTCAAACAGGGGTCTGCCTTCTCCCTCGTATAAAAACTCGGAGGCAGGGAAACGGGTAGGATACAGGGGTCACCCTCCCCCTCGTATAAAAACTCGGAGGATGCCGCGATAGTTAGATCGAACTAGGTAGGGCGCGAATGCGGGAGCCACCTTCACCCTGAAAATCGGAAGGACGGGTAGGAATACAGGGGTCCGCCTTTTCCCTCGTATAAAAACTCGGAGGCGGGGACACGGGTAGGGGAGGTGGATCGGCGCTGGGCGCGAGGTCAAGATGCCACATACTTACCAACAGGAGTCTGTCTTGCTCCTCGTATAAAAACTCGCAGACAGGGACACGGGTAGGGGTGGTGGATCGGCGACCGGTTCTCACTGGAGCGCCACACATCACCAACAGGGGCTGTCACCCCCTGGTGCAAAAACCGGTGGCCGGACTGACGGGTAGGAGGGGATGGGGGCGGAGGGGCATCTGCGCCCTGAAGCCCCACATCTCCGAACAGGAGGCCACCTTCCTCCTGTATAAATATTTGGAGGCTGGACCCGGGCCGGGGGTATCCTCAGGTTTTAACGGAGGACCACACCCTGGCATAAATGGCGTGGCTGGACGGTGGAAGGGTACGACCCTGGGTAGACGGTTTTCCTGGGAACATCACGGCGGGTGTTGCCCACGCACCTGCCGCGCCGGGAGGACTCGCTCTGCCACTCGCCTGGGGAGGGAACCCTCATGCCCTCGATGCCTGGCCGGGGGGGGCCGGCGCGGGGGCGGGGAGTCTGCTCAGTGGTACGACCCGACCGCCAACACTGGCGTCCGCCTAGTGAGAGTCCACCTCATCTCACTATAATATAACAGAACGGAGGATGGCTTTTATAAGGAGGCGATGTAGGTCGCCAAGTGACTATGGTCACTGGGTTGCTGGGCGAGCAGCGACGTTCAAGAGGGGGCTGCCGCGGCGGCCAATTTTGTGGGTGGAATCCCCGGCATTCTGCCGGGGTATACACTATCGATCTCTCCTGAGATGCACCCCCCCGTGTGGGCCACCTTGTCGTGGTGGGGGGGCTTAAGGCGGGCGTCCGGCTGGGAACCGTTGTGTGCCGCTTTTAGGCTCCGGCGGTTCCATGGGCTGGGCGTCCGCCGACTAAGGGCCCACTTGGCCAGTGTATGGCCTGGCCGAACATCGGCCGAGCAGGATGGGGAAGCGATGTTCCATGGACATTCTGTCCGGAAGGGCATCGTGGACCCATACTTTTGAGCGGAAGGCCTCGTTGTGCCTTTGGGTTGGAAAAGGTGTTAAATCACCAGGGCGTACCGTGTACGCATGGGTAGGCACAACGAGGCGTAGCCCCGGGGCCGCCGGAACTTATTTCCGGGTCGGGGCTAGGGGTCGAGAGGACGTGTCGTCGGGGCCGCTCGGACGTATTCCGAGGCGGGGCTCGGCGGCGCGGAGCCCTCCGGAGCCGCTGGGACGTTTTCCAGGTCGGGGTCCGGAGGGTCGCTGGCGGGGGACTGTCGTGGTCCTGGGCAGTGTCCCGGACCCGGCAGTCTGCTCGGACGAGGGGGACAGGGGAGCCGCTCGGACTTATTCCGAGGCGGGGTCTCACTGTCCCCCGTTGCCGGGGGGCCCGCGCGATAGCCCACGTGTCCTAGCGCGGACCACCCCCCCGGCGGTAGACGCCATCACGCTGGTCGCCGCGGCGGGTCGGGGTGAAAGGGGGTCGGGCTTCCCCAGACACTTCCGTCCGTCCGCGCGGCCCCACGCTTTGGGCACGCGCGAGGTGTCCGCGAGGTCGGGAGAGGAGGCGGGCGGCTCTACGCAAGAGCCCCAACCGCAGCGCCAACCCAGAGGGGCGCCAGAAGAGAGGACCTCACCTCCATCAGAGGCCATGGAGGTAGAGGCCCTATCGGACGGGGGGATAATAAGGCCGAGTAATGCCTCGCTCTCCCCCCCGTCCGAATCTAAACGGATTTGGCCTCATACAGGCCAACGTGAACCACTCTCCACATGCTCAGGATCTGCTCCAGCAGAGCGTGGTGGAGAGGAGTTTCACGTTGGCGATCGTGGCCGAGCCCCACCGCCCCCCGAGAGACAGCCTATATTGGGCTGTTGATAACGGGCAGGCGGGGGGGACTCGATTGCGATCCGATGGCGGTCGGTGCCGGGAGAGCCCGGCACGACCCCCATCGAGAGTGGGGAACGGCACGTTGCCGTTCAATGGGGGCCCATCGCGGTCGTTCGGGTCTATTTAAGGCCCACCAGACGCCCTGATCTGTTTGAGGGCTGGCTGTCGGACGTGGGACGGACGTTAACACGTCTGGGTCCGAAGCCGGTCCTCGTAGCCGGGGACTTCAACGCGTGGCACACGAGTTGGGGTTCCCGGCGTGATAACGAGAAGGGCAGGGCTCTGGCGAGTTGGGCGGCGGCGCACGGCCTGGTCCTCGTGAATGAGGGCCGGACCGTCACCTGCGTGCGGACGCAGGGGGAGTCCATCGTGGGCTACCCCCTCGGCCGCGCGCCTGATCACCGGGTGGGGGGTAGAGCGGGACATCGAGACTCTGTCTGATCACCGTTACATAACGGTGGAGCTCGGTGTCCTCTCCCCCGTGCGCCCCCAGGAGATGCGACCGCGATGGGCCCTCAGGAAACTCTGTGAGGACGCCCTGATGGCCTCGCTGGAGGCCGCCTGTTGGGTCCGGGGAGGTTTCCCCGAGACCCGGGAGACGGACCCCCTGCAAGAGGCCGAGTGGATCGGGGCAACGCTAACAGCGGCTTGTAACGCTGCGATGCCCCGGTCCAAAACTCGGCGTCAGCGGGCCGTCTACTGGTGGACGGCAGAGATCGCCGACCTGCGTCGACGAA